CCCCCAAAACCCCAAAACCCCAAAACCCCAACTCTGTAACAGCCGATTGAAATTGGGGATTGTAATTTAAAAACTTTCTTTCCTGACCTTGTTCAGTTTGAGGATTGCTTCTTCAAGTATTAAATCTTCTTCGTATTGCTCTTCATATATATTTATAATTTTGATCAGCTCATTTTTGGCATCGAAAATTGTTAAGTATTCTTTCAGGAATTCATCAAAGATTATCGATCCTTCAATGATCCCTCTATGGTGGTTGAGCATCTCTGTGAGCTCTTCAGAGGTTTTGTTAGATTTTGGGGATAATCTAATCTTGGTCTCTCCTTTAATCATACTTTGGCGTACTTCTTCCTTGAGGTATTGGAATTCTTCAAACTGAGATCGCTCCTTGATCTGGTTGGAGATTGTAGTTAGTGAATCTAGAAGAGAGATAGGCTCATGATCAAACTGGCAATACAACATTGCGTGTAAATAGTAAGTCTCCAGGTTCTTGTTTCAGAGTGGAATTGATGCCAACTTCGAGAAAATTGATGATATTATTCTATACAGGTTAGAGTTAGGGTCAGTTACGGAATTCAAATTGAGGAGCATTAGGAAAAATTTAGGTAATGATACCACCAATAGTTTTTTGATTAATCAAAAAAGGCTAAATGAAATAACTAATTTGTGATATAAAAATTATGAAGAAAAAATAAATTTGAAGTCAGAAATTCTAAAGTTTATTACAGGTTCTCGACTGTGTTGACTCTGCAACTATGCCTTGGAATGAAGTTCTCTCGGAATCTCCTGAACAGCAACTTAAAAAGTAGGCCTTGATCCAGCGGGTTTCAAGTCGGGTCGTACTTGTACTCCTCATCATTTTCCTCGAATAACTCGTTGTCGGTGATGCTAACAGAACTAGTGGTCTTGCCCACAGAGAAGTCCGGCTTCCGATGATGCAGAAAGAACTGACAGTCCTGATCGTCTTCGGCTTCGTCTGAACAGCTATCAGACGAGTAGGCAGACATGCTCTTGGTTGAGAACGAAGTCGGAGACTTGTCGTAGAGGCGGTGATGTCTGTTTGTGGCTTCTCCGCGACCGTAACTGTAGAACTCGTATGTCGGAGTGGCGTCGAGTCGTCCACGATACTTCTTGTACTTTTGCTATTGATGATGAGTGGGACCTACCTTGATTGTGTTCCATTTATCCGGAGCGTCAAGTGCTTGCATCAAGGAGTCATGGCTGATCGAGTAGAGACTCATTGACTCGTGCACTAGATTGTTAGACACAGCCCTGTATGCTTCTAGTGACTCCGGTGTGATGTAGTGCATTTCCTTGATATCTTCGATGAGTTTCTGTCTTGGGTTACTCTTGCGAATAGCCTTTTTGACATTGTTGATATCGTAGTTATTTTCAAATGCGCTTGCTTAGGAACCTGTAAACCAGACTCTCGATGATAATCGGACTATTTTTGTTCAAGAACAAGCTTATCAGTTTGAGCACAACGGCTGAGCACTTTTCTCGTTCTTCGACAATTTTAGTGAGAATTTTGCCAGAAATTATGTGAGAGAGATGCTCTTCAATTTTAAGTCCGACTAAGAGCGGTCCTTTATCTGTACAATAAGCCAAAAATTACCTTTAGGATCCTCAATATACTCGTCGTCTTCTTCAGTGTCTAGGTTAATATCATCGAGCATTTGGAAGAGCATATCTTCCTTTCGTCTCTGAGTTAAGTTTTCATCTTGAAGTATTTTATCAATCTCTTGGGTATGCCCTTCACCAGAATTATTATCATAGGCAAATCGGTTAATTTTGATCAATCTTGTCAAGACTCAAGCGACCATCTGGAGTATAATTTCCTTCATCATCAACCAAGCAGCCTTCGTCATGTACTCTCAGGTCTAAAATAGTAAAGACTCAGGTATTACCATCATCATCCAAAAAGTTTCTGGCGTTAAAATTTTGTTCTGCTAATACCCAATGATCCTCTGTTGTCTCTAAACTGATATTAGTTCGACCAAGTTAGGTAAATTCGTTAATTTTAAGGCTTTGGATTAGTCCTAGGGTCGATACTCACCTCAAACTTGCTGGGAATTTGACCTTTTGTGGTGGGAATTTCGAGATGTTCGACAATTGGAGTACAAGTTGCTAGGAACCTCTAAAAGGGTTTCTATCTGTGCATAATCAGTCACCCCTGTAATAGTTGCTGGTACTACTCCGGTGGGGTCTTTGGTGGAGGACACAACTGGAACTCTCACAGAAGTGAAGTTTATTGATGATTTATGTCTCGAATGATGGGCTGTCCTTTCTTTCACTGGTGTTAAGTTTATACGAGGAACTTTTGGTTTATCTATAGAACTAGGTAAAAGATATAACTTACCATCCAAGTATTTCATTGGGCTATCTTGTTGTTCAGGCTCATCAACAGCCTTCTCAGTGCTATTAATATCATAAATAGCTTCCTCAAAGCCGCTAAGCGGATCCCTAATATGCGAGCCATCAATAGAATCAAGGTCTTCATCTGTCACCATAATTTTTGGTGTATAATCATGCTAGAACCATTAGACACATCAACTCACAAGGCCTCCTTCACTGTCTGATTTCTGCTTTTTCTCAGGAAATCCGAATAGGAAAAAGAAGATCATCTCATAAATCTTTGAATGATTGATCAGGTCTACTATATCAATCAAGTACTGCAAAGTCGTCCTGAACCTCAGAAGATTCCGGTCATCATCCAGGAGGTTGTCCTGGAGTCTCATCAAAAACTCATTGAAGAAAACAATGGAGATATTTTCTAAAATTGCTGGATTGGTGTTGAATAGTTCATCTACAGGTTAAAGACTAGCTCACCTAAAAATTTGAGGAATTCCAAAAATTTTAAATATGAGAAATAGAAGTTATTCTTGTCTCCTGATTGAGGGAAGTTCTCTTGCACCAGATCTTTAACGTTGAAGCAACTCCTCTCAGAGAGTATAAGTGAGGTCGGCAAACAATGGAAGAACCTCTCTAAAGTATTTACCAATATTTCTCAGATTTCACTTTCATGGTTAATGTACTCGTCTACCAGAGGGTTATTGATTTTCAGAATTCACCTAAGAGTGTCATATATCCTATTTCAATGAACAGCATTGTCCTTGGCAGTCATATCTTGAAGTAGCCTCATAACTACTTTGAGAGGGAGGTAATCCCCCTTCTCATTCTTGTGGTGGCCTAACCTTTTGGCATTACTAAACATCAGGTGGGAGAGGTAGGGCATTTTAGCTATTTTCTGGCACAATACATTTAAAAAATCAAGTATTACCCTAGTGTCATAGTTCATGAACTCGTATTTATCCTTCACTGTTACTTCAAACATCTGGAGCAGCTGATTTATAGCAGGATGTACTGATTTCTGAGAGATTAGAGACACTCATTCTACATTCTCAAGCAACTCAATTATTACATTCATAGCAAAATTAAAGAAACCTGGAGGTTTATTACTCTTAGCATAGGCTATTAACGACTCAAAAACATGAAATTTCAAGAAATACTCCATACACTCGCCCAAGGTATTAGCTCTCCGGTTCCTTTGGTCTTCTTCAATAATAAGATCTGCGATTTTTCTGAGATTATTTCGAATCTCTTCCTTCTTCACTACTCTCGCTTTATTTTGAAAGTTTGTCATCTGAGAGAATGTAAGTATAATAATTTTCGAAGCTCCTCCATGCTTTCTCAATTTGGTACTGAGGTCCTTTATCTTTGGTCTTGAAAATTCCAAGTAGCTTCATGCTTAATATTTATTTAATTATTCATTTCTTATGAAGCATTTGGGGTTTTGGGGTTTTGGGGTTTTGGGG